CAGGAGGCTGAAGTGTCTGATGGAAGGCTAAGGGATCTACATCAGAAGGCTGAGGAGTCCGCACTGGAAGCCAGGAGATGATGTCCAACCCGAAGGTGAAGATTGGAGCTCCTGTGAAGAAACAGAAGCAAGGCTTTCTTCATTCCCCTTTTGTACCGTTGTGGCAGCAGCCTTTTGGTGTTGTCACTCATACCCGGTAAATCCCAGCAGATCTTCAGTAAATCCCATCAGCCACACCCAGAACCATGCTGCTCCAATTTAGTCAGGCATTTCTCACTCAAGTTGACACAATCAGGTTCGTCACACTTCCTCTTCCTTTCCTTTGGAATGGAAATGTTTACCCGGTGCCACTGGATGTCAGAAGTGTTTAGCTTTCTTTTTGACTTCTACAGGGGCTCACAGCTCAGAGTTTGCTCTGAGTCTCAGAGGAGACTTTGGACTTGGACTTTTCAACAATGCTGGAGCTGTTACAAATTTGGGAACTCACAGAGATGGCTGGAATGCATTTTGCATAGAGATACACATGAGTCTTGGGGGCCAGAGATGGAATGCTATGGTACAGATCTGAAATGGCCCTGAAAGCCTCATGAATTTGGACAGTGATCAATTATGGGGGCATTAGAGATGACTTGCTGCGGGGAGACAGGGTCTGCGTGGAAAAGGCGGGTCACAGTGAATGCAACCTGGTGTGTCTCCCTTCACCACTGCTCCTTTTCTCTGCTTCCTGGACACCATGGAGCAGCTTTTCTTTGTTATGCTCCTCCACCATACTCTTCTTTCCCAGAGCCAGCTGACCATGGACTACAACGTGAGACAAAACAAACCTGTCCTTTAAGTTGTGAGAGTAAGGTATTGTGTATCAGTGACCGGAAAGTTACTAAGACATCAGGGGTTGTTGGTTTGTTAGTGCCAGGCTTATGGCAGAAACAAGCTGTGTTTTCTGCTGTGTTTGGCCAGCCTTGGTCTTATGCAGTTTCATCTTGGCTTCAGGACCTTCCAGGGATAAAGCAGTGGTCCATCTCCCAGGGAAGTTTTCTGCTTCTCCTCAGCATAGTAGCGCCCTGAATAATATTGATATAGACTCTTGAGCTCAGAGCAGTTTCTTGGGTCTTAAAGAACATCTGGTCTTTGAGAATTTGTTTATATTTTATGTGATTTTTTTTCTTACCCACTGTGTTACTATCAGTACAACATCACTCCTTGCTTGCGGTCCAAATGCAAAACTTTGTGCATCCTATTCTCCTTGAAGCGGTTTGTACTTCTTTAAAATTCAGTGTGCTTGGTTGTCCTGAGAAGTTCTCTGATTTGCACAAGAAAAGTTATGATTTTATAGATTCTTTGGCTTTTTCTCATGGTTAGGATGAAAGTGACTTTTTTTTTTAAGCTATTTCCTAGTTGGAAGCAGAAACCCAGGGCTATAAAGATGAAATAAAGTTTTGTTTATTGAACTTCCCGTGACAAGATGCTGTGATAAGCAACTTATAAACATTCATTCTCAACCTCACAGTAACATAAAATTCTCAGTATTATTCCCATTTTACACATGAAACAGCAGCTTTCTCTAGAGGCTGGAGAGTATGCGCCAGCATAAGGAGTCACACTTCATAATGTCTGACTCTAAAGCTCAAAATTCATTCTTTCCACTACTCATTTCTTGCCTCTGGCACTAAAGAGCCAACCGATACAAAACAGAGAAGTTTATAAAAATAATCATGTAACAATGGTATAAGTACTGTTTTAAAAGTGAGCACAGGATATATAGTGATAAAAAGTATTTTCAAATTGAGATCATTTCAGAATGTCTACTTAAGGATATAATATCTAGACTACTTCTTGATGCCAAATTGGGCATAAAGGGTTTGTACATAGTTTTTTTAAATATCTTCCTTAGTTTTTTTCCCATATAATGCCTCCTTACAATGAAAACCAGAACTCGGTTTCCCTGCCTCTCTTGCTGCTAGGTCAGAGCCCTGGTAGATACTCCCTTCCCGAGGTTCAAGTTGGAAAGCAGTGATTTAGAGAATCCTTTTCCTGAGAAGGTGATGGAGCGTGCTACAAGGCATCCTGCTTGCAAAGCCTGAAGAAAGTGAGGTCCCAGGAGCAATGTCTATTGTTCATTGTCCTTGCTGCAGATTTTGCAAAATCTGCCGCAAGGAACACTGAGATGTGTATCCCCACCGGTAGGTGAACATGCTTTGAGGTAGATCAGCAACACTATTTGGGCATTGTTCCTAGCATCTACACCTTCAGACCTTATTTTCTTTCCCCTGAGTAATGATTTAGTATCTATTCTGTCAGCTCTCTAATTTCCATTAATTAATTCACTTTCTGCTTAATTGAATCAGAGGTGGATTTTGTTGATTATAGTTAGGAATCCTATTGAAACATTGGGCAACCCAAATAGAGGAAATAATTGGCAAAATTTTAAAGGGAAAGAACATGAAGCATTCCAGAAGTCAAATCTGTGAATAATTTGGAGTTATTGTTGGGGAATGAAGGCGAGAAAAGATACTGGGGATGTTCACCGGTCTCATGTAATGGTCCTTGAGTTCTCTTACTTGAGAGGTGTGCAGTAGAGTCCTGGGAGAAGACCGTGGACAGGACAGAGAGGGATGATTGGGATGATTTTTGGGTGGGGCTGTAACCAAGCAGGAAAAGGATGTAGAGGTATTGGGCTGAGCTGCAGTGTTTCAAGCAGAACTTAATTTATAGTTGCTGTGCACATCTTGGTCTCAGTAACCCGGAAGTCACCCACTCTCATGGGGGCCTTGGAAACTTAGTGGCATTGGCAAACTTTGATGTGTTTAGATTTCAAAACAATATTAGTGGAAGATCTTGCTCTGAGAAAACCTCAGGCAGGCGAGATTCATTAATTCTGTTTTAGAACTTTGAAGTAGCACTAGTGTTAGGTGACCAAAGGATTCAGCAAACATCTAGATGGAGTCAGCTAGGAACTAAATTGTTTCAAATACCTTCTTTGATGAAAAAGTTGAAAGCATTTCTATTTATATCAACAAACTAGCTCTTAAGGAGCCGGGCAGGGGCATGGTCCTCTATAGGCAATGATCGTGAACTCCTTGGTATCCACCCAAACATGGAGTTTGGAATTTTCTACTTGATTCTTTCCTTCAGGGCATCCATGGTACCAGTGTGAGTCAGGCAGGAACACTTAACATGTGCGCACCATGAGAAGCAGAGGTGTGAGGCATTGCACACCTAACAGTGTAGAAACATATCAAACAGTTCTGTTTTTACAATCTTATTGGCTTTTTACCCAGCGTTTTGCTTTTGTAATAGCTCTTTTTCTTCTTTCTTTTTCTCATTCCTTTTTTCATTTCTCCACCCTCATATCAAGGAAAACAAAATAAAGGAAAATAAACAGGTTTTCTTCTTCCATAGAGAATAATTTAGCTTTCTATTGTCTTGAGATACAATTTCTTGTTCTCACCTCTTGTTTCCAATAATTTATCAAAATATTTCCTTAAAAAGCAGTTCTGTTTTGGAAAGACTATTGGTATCACCTGCTTAGCAGGTATATCCATAAGCCACCTATTTACATTTGTCTTTGGTTTTACAAATGCTAAGATTCTAGCCTGCCAGACAGCCTGAAACGAAAAGTCCTTTGTGACCATATATGAAAAGACGCATTTTTCATGAAGCGTCACACTAATAAACATAAGGGTGATGAGTCTACGGGTCTATTTGTCTTTAAACTGATGTTGAAACTTAGTTCTCCAGGATATCACTTTTCATTTAGCTCTTATTCCTCTTACCACCATATTGGTGCTGCAAATTAGGATATTCTGTTTTCTGAAAGTTATTGGAATATTTCTTTCACTGATTTGTGTTTTTGTACTGACAAATAAATACTGAACACATGGGGCTGGGGATAAAGCTCAGTGGCACAAGCAGCCGCCTGGCAAGTGCAAAGTCCTGAGTTTGATTGCTGGTACAAAAAAAATCCCCAAACAATACTGAACACACACTATGTAATTTGCCTTAGGGACATGGATAACTGATAGTCTACAGATGGAGGAACCAAGGGACACAAACTGATAAACGTACAGCGGCCTGAAGTGAATGCAGTCGAGGCAAGACTGTAATTTTCTTTTTTTTTTTTTTTTTTTTTCTCCAGTACCGGGAACCAAACTCACGACCTTGTGCTTGCCAGGCAGGCGCTTTGCCACTGAGCTAAATCCCCAGCCCCGCAAGACTGTAATTTTCAATAAGCTGCTTTTGAATTGAGCATAGCAAATGCTTCTCTTTAGATCTTTCAGCTAAAAACTAGGGACTCTTTAGATCTTTTGCCTGTGGTCATTATACACATTTAACTGATGTAGTTTCAAAGTTGGCCTTCTCTGATATGTTCAGATTCTTTGTTTTTTGGAAACTGAGGTCTTCAACCGCATGAAAGCAAATGTTTTAACTTATATGCTTTTAACTTAAACATTTTAAAATCATATTTTTGAATTTTGTATAGCATTTCATCAGACTAGGATCTAGAGAAGTTTCCCCTCTCACTAACATATAGTTAAAATTTTTGCTTTTGGCAAAATTATTCTTTTTTTAAAAAAAGAAGAAAAAATTTTTTAAAAATTAAAAAATTATTCTTTACTGTAAGAAATACAACTAAGTATAACACAAATCTAAGGGTTAAAGGAAAGATATTTTTAGAAGTAGATCTAAAAGTGAAAGCAAGTCTTTCTTCTGGGTGACTTTTTTGTGACAATTTCTCTGGTTAAATTATCAAATTGTGCCACAGCTAGGCACAATTATATAGAATATCTTCTTACATGATCAGAAAATCTATCAAATCATATTTTTTGCTTTCCTTTTAGCCACTTCATCTAGTAACTTAGAAAAGAACTCCATAAAATCAGCCAACTTTCAGCTTTCATTTTGATTCCTTATATACTTAGCACACACTGTAGACACTATTCATGGGGAAAGATGTTCTTTTTCTACTTTTACTTCATTAAATTAATTCAATCCAGTTCACTTTTTTCATCAACAAATATTTATTAAGCACCTACAATATGCCAGGCACTGTGCTGGGTGCTGGGGATACAACTGTGAACAAGATAGACACAGTCCCTGCCCTCAAGGAGCTTACAGTCTAGTAGTTTTACAGACAAGTACACAGGCAATTACAATGCAGTATGGTGAGTGCCGTGATGGGGAAAGAACATTAAGAATGGCACCTAACTCAGTCTCTTAGGCAAGGGGTAGTGTATGCTTATAAATTCTCCCAGGGCTAGTAAAATCCGAGTACTGAAGGATGAGTGTAAGTTAGTCAGGTAAAGCGGAGACAAGGAATGGTTACATACTGAGGGAATCATATGCAGTGTCCCATGTGCTGCTTCGGAGGTTTGTATGCTGGCAGGAGAAATTGGGTAGGAGCGAGAGAGGTCCTTGACGGGATAAACAGGGGCAATGTCATGAAGAGAATAGTTTGCTCTTCCCAAGAACCTGGAATTTTTCCTGAGGGAACAGTGCATGTGTGTAATGTGTGTATATCATCTGATATAAATTTTTAAGATGTTCTTTCTGCAGCACAGAGATGGAATGAGGGATGGGTCAAGGAGAGGAAATTAATCCTTCACCTTTTCCAGCTTATGTTCCGTGACACTACATGTGTGCTTGCCTCAGTCAGGCTGATCGTGTACGTTCTTTAAACAAGCCATGCGCGCTCAGGGTGCTCAGCATCCATTGCTCAGCCGTTGGGCTTTTAACCCTTTTCCTATGAAAACTCAACTCATCCCTCAAGGGCAGACTTTTGGAATCATCTTAACTTGTGCTTTCTGCCAAGATCCCTAAGTATGTCGTTTTTATTCCTAGTAAAGAACTTATTTCTAATGAACTAAACTTTCTTTGGAACTATGTTAATTTACTCCAACATAACAATGTAATTTTTTTTATATAAATAAAACATAAAATAACATTTTCTTCATCTAAGGGCTAATTCTTCATTTGTGGTCCACTCCAAACTATTCTTAGTGCCTTCAGAGGATTCAAATTGGGCCGATACAAATGAGGGGAGAAGCTCCTTGGACACATGATTTTATGCAGCGAAGTACGGTCCAGTGAAATTTCCACACACAGTGACAGGGTATGTTACTGTTCAGACAGTGATTCATTCCAGGACTCAAAAACTCCATCTTTGACAATTTAACCTCCTAACAAGTGACAGATCTATAAAACAGGGGTAGCTTAGTATGGAAAAATAATAAGGGCTAGCTACATTTTCCAGGAAGGTCCACCGCTTGACTTCTACAATCCCTCGTATACTCTTACAATTTTTCAAATAACTTTAATCATAAGAACAAAAAACCTTTTAAGCTCTGTAGATATTGTAAGAACATCTGTTGTTTTATTCTTTTTGGTGGGTACAAAAACCACAATTTCGTACACAGAACAAGATTATAAATAATACTGATAACAAGAGTGACCCGTAGACTCTTTTGATTCCACATTGCAGATTGGTGATTTAATGTCAACGCTCTCTTCCTTTCATTTTACTTTTGCTTCTGGTAGTGAGACAAATGCGATCTGTGAACCAACTCATGTGGCGGAGTGAAGGTTACAGCAAACGAGAAGACGACCAACAACTTTTATAGAAAAAAGTCTCTAAAGTTTATTACAGTGATGGCATTTATATCAATTATTGCAATGTATTCTTCCCTAAGATGGTTAGAAAAAAGAATTGTGTTGTCCTCTACTGAATTTACGTCAGTTAAAAAGCAAGCATGTTTCAGTATTTATTTTCTCCAAAGTAAGTGTAAATACTTCCTTTAAATTTTTTTTCACAGGATGTACATGTTTATTTATTATTTTCTTATCACAGTTTAGTGACTTGTTTTCTCAGCTGGATATTCTTCCATTGGCTACATGGGTGTTCTGGAGACACAGGTTAGCGTGTTCATTGACTTCTAGAACTATTTTATCCCTTTGGGCGAAGACAAAGGCCTTTCTGAACGAGAACTTCACAGTTGAATGCCTAACTGGCAAGTCTGATTAGTCTTTAAGTTCACTCAAGTGAAATTTGTTGCTGTTAATACACCCATCCCAGCTCCCCCACCCACTCCCCCAAAAACTTAAGTTGTGAGTTTTCCTGATATAAAATCTGAGTTTGGGTTTCCGAGCTGAGCTCATGCACACGTTTCTGCGGCTGATGTCCAGCGCGTTAGGACGCACTTCCCGCTCTCGGCCAAAGGACTGGTTTAGCAAAGACCCGCGCTTGGCGTGCTCCTCAGGGCTGCGTTTCCATCAGTCACCAACACAGTTTAATTAAGGCACTCAATTATTTTTTTGGTTTTTATGGTAGGTCCGACGCAAGGACAGCCAATCCTGAACTTTGTCTAATTGCAGTTCCAGCGTGTACAGCCTTTGGGCAGTCGGGCGTCAGGACGCGGCCGTTTTCTCCTACGCTCCCAGTGATGGATAACCTGGCTTTGTTTCTTATGGCTTCAGAAAAGGTCAGCTGGGTTGCATGGAAGGGAATCAGAAAGAATGCGGTGTGTTAGAATACTTCTGTTTGTTCACCAACACGCGACACAGCAAACACCAAAATATCAATAATTAGACATCTGCATTTTTTCCATATTCTTTCGGTCAGAGGCAAACTGCTTAGGAAAGAGTGAAAAGCTCACTACGCTGCAGGGCGAAACAGTCTAGAGTTTGTGGTCTGACCTATTTAAAAACCCTTTGCAAAATCATAAGATCAGGTTTTGTTTAGTCAATCTGGGCAGGAAACATCTTTTTACTTGTGGCCCTATCCACTCGTACTTCTAGCGGAGCTTAAAAGCTTCTTAATGTTGGATAACATTCTTTGCCTCGTAATTATTTTTCTTGTTAGATAATATATGAGAGTGCAAGTGTTAGACTCTTAAAATTGAGAAGCTACATACACCAACTGTACGTATCAACTATAAATGTTCTCATGACGCAGACCTAGCCATAGACGCTTTCATTCATTCATACCAGTTATACGCATGACTCGGAACAGTACAGCTGGTGACAGGTGCGTCACTCGGTGCGTCATGGACGTTAACGGTTGTATTTTAAGGATTATGTTTGAACGGGGTACACGAAAAGGAGGCATATGTAGACGGAGCCTATTTCGAAACTTACTAAATGGTTATTACTGGGAAACTTCCCAGATGGAAGCCCTAGGGTTAAATCTCTGAACTCTCCATTAAATTCCATTGCCTGACTTCTAAGATAGCAGATAATATTACACAGAGGAAAAGCAGACAGTGTTATTATTGAAATCGAATTACTATTCATGCATTGTTTTTAAATTCTTTCAAGTAGCTGAATTCTAAAATTAACACAAAAATAAGGTAAAGGAGAGCTTGTCTCACGACTCATAATGCGTGTAATTCTCCATTGTGAATTTATCTAATTCTGTAGGAAATTTGATCCTTCTATTTATTTATTTTGACTTGGTACTTAAATATTAAGACTGTAAATTAAAATGATGAAATTAATTAGTATAGAAATTGTTGGAGTAAAAAAGTTTAAACATCATTTACTGTAATAACTTGCAAAAATTGAAGTCAAATTGCTTATAGTGACTTAGCTATGCTAAAAACCCAAATTGAATGTCAAGTTCATTTTTAGTGAATAGTCTTGGCAATTAATATTTGTTTTCAAAATCAGGATACACAGTGTATCCTTTACAGAAACGTTAATCATTTTTTATATATAGATATCATGGAAATATAATGAAGACTTTAAGGAAAAAAGGTTATCTTCAATTAATCCCTTGAAAGTGCTTCTGACTTTTATTTGATACACATTAATCACTCACCAAGTATCTGTTGAGTGGCTAAATGCCCGCATTGAGAAGATATTTTTTCTTCCTTATAAATGACACTGATGAATTTGTAAAACTATATGCTCGTATACATGATATGAAGTTTTTTAAAAAACTTGTAAAACTATATACTAAAAAGGGTGAATTTTACTGTCTATAAATTATACCTGAAAAATAATCCTAAATGAATATATTACATACTGTTTGAGGTGAACAGAGGCAAGGTTAAGAATATCAACTAGAATTAGAAATAAAACAATTCAATTTATACATCTGAAAAGACTCTTTGGTCATGGGTTTCACATATAGCCTAGAGCATCAGGGGACTGGGAAATGGAAACGGGGACAGTAATTTTGCCTTTGAAGTGAAACTCTTGGATGGTTAATTTATAAGGGATAAATATTTTCCAGCTCAATATTAGAGTGCGGACGCTTTTGGAAATTCATATAAAGAAAGGTATTACCAAAACAGTACTACTTATAACAAGAAAATGAAACAAAAACTGTTATATTTAAGAAACATAGTACAGGAATTGGCTTTAGATTTGCTGAATAACTTTCTTCTGTAATCCTGTTTTTCAGTGCTATATGTTTTATATGGTTGAGTGGTGTTTAGGTGGATGCTTTTGAGTCACAACTTAAATGTTTCAAGTATTCCAGTTCCGCCCCAGGAATTTTCTGTGAGCTTCAGTGGAAAATAATTTTGAGGCAGTTTGGGGAAGTTTAAATTAAATTAAATCACATGCTGAGGAAAACGAGATAAACTAATATCCATGAGTCCAATCTAAGCCAATGTATGATCCTATCTTAAACACTTAGGAAGCCCTGAAGTCTTAAGACCAATCAGCCTTGTTTAATAAGGTAAGTGGTTCCAGAGAATTCATAGCTATCTACTGTCACTGCATGTAAGCAAAATTAAAACCAAAGTCTGAATATGTTTCTTTGGATTCACAGTCAACATGTAATCCCAGTAAAATAGATAATTATTTTAAAAACCTACTAGTTTAATTTGCTTTAACTTCTTTTTAACAAGACATATGTTACAGGCATTGTGGTTTTTTAAAACAGCATTTTTAGAAGGATTTTGCCATAAAATGTACTTTTGTTTCATTTTTGTGTTAATTGTGTTTTTGAGGAAAAGAAAACTTCCAAAACTTAAAAAATTCCATGTGGTCCCAAATAACCTCACCTCTTTGATAGATTAATGCAGCTGAGTGTATTAGTTAATAAATCTTTGACCAATTTCTACTTTCTTTTTAAATCTGTTCAATAATTTTATTTCTTATATGTATATCACTTGCTTTCTCCAAAAAGTGTCATTTCTATTCATCTTTTTTTTTTTCTGGTACCAGGAATCGAACTCAGACCTTGCACTTGCCAGGCAGGCGCTGTGCCGCTGAGCTAAATCCCCAGCCCCTCCATTCATCTTAAGGTGACCCTGTTTGAAACTCTTCAAGCTGGAAATTTTTTTTCTAAGTTTATATATAGTCTGGTTTGGTTTGATCTTTGTGGCTAATGACTAATACCTCAATTGTATGTGTTTCCTTTGAAGGATGATCACCTTTGAGTAGATGTACTATGCCTTTAAGGTTTCAGATTTTTCTTTTTGAGATTCTATTTGCATAAGTATGGTCTGATGAATGGATAAAAAGTGTGATATCTCACAATGGAGTGCTACTCTGCCAAAAAGAAGGATAAACTTGAGTAATCTGTGCAGAAATGGAGGAACCTTGAGACCATAATGTTAAGTTAAATACATCAGACACACAAGTTTAAATATCACATAGTTTCTCTTATATAAGAAACCCGAAATATAAATAAGGAGCAAAATAAAATATAGACAATAGGAAATAGGGAGATAATTCTTTTGCAAATAGAAATAGGACCAAGAAACAGGGGTGATGGAGGTGAGAACAGGGAAAGGGGATGAAAAAATTGAGATGTGTTGTGTGCATGTATGAATTCCCTACGGGGAACATAATCATTACGTAATGGACACATGCTAATAAATAATTAAATTGAAAAAAATATGGCCAATGAAGTTTTTGACAGGAGAAGCCCATTGAATGTGATAGAAAGGTAAAAACTGCTTCTTCCAAGGGCTTTTCTCTGGGTGCAGATCAGATCATTTATTCTGAATGTCAGGGTCAGGAGAAAATGGATATGTTTTCTTTTTAAATATACGTACTTAAAAGTTCAAATTCAGTTTTAAAAGGAAACATGATGAGCTTCAGTGCCAGATTCTGACTCCAAAACATATTACGTGTAAGTTACACATAACCTTTTCACCAGTTTCCCAGAACTTTGTAATAAATTGACATACTTGAGTATTTCCTTCTCCAACTCATGAACTATACTTCATCTTTTGTTTGTTTCCCTATTCTTGGACTTTGCTAAAGTTTGGCTTGGCAAGGAAAAATTAATCACAAAATTTTTTAGTCTTATAAAATTCTCAGAATTCAGCCCATATAACTGGTTTTGAAAACTAGTCAAGTATTGGTTTTTCTCAGTTTGGGCAAAATCTCTGCTCAGCTCTGCAGATGCTAAGGCGAAAGCATTCTTAGCTTGGCACAGTGTTGCGGTCTGTAATCCCAGCTGCCCTAGGGGACGAAAGGCTCTCAAACTTGAGAGTTTGAGACCTTCAGGGGCCATTTATTGAGATCCTGTTTAAAAAAAACCAAAAAACAAAAAACAAAACCAGCAAAAACCAAACAATTAAAAGGGCTGGGGACGAATCTCCGTGGTAGAGCACCTCTGAGTTCAAACCTCAGCATAGGGTAGGGCATGGAATGGGGAATGAATCAACCTCCTAGTGGCCTAGATACCCTGACTCCCCAGTGTGTGACATGTTCCCCAGTGTGTGACATGCTCCCCAGTGTGTGACATGTTTTGACCTAAGTGAACTGAGGGCTTAGTTCTTAAAGCTCTTCTTTTTTAAAATAAAATTGGGAAGGAACCACTTCGAGATTATCTATGTGCCCTTGTACAGTACTCAGCCACTGATTTCTAGATAATGGGTAAAAGCAATTAGATCTGGATCACCTAGGATGACTCCATTTTTGTTTTCAGATACTAACAAGCATCTCAATAATTTATGTATAAATAACTATCAAAATCAAGCACATTTACCTAGTATAACCTCACATGTACACCTTATTAAAATTATATTTGGTTTTTTACTTTAAAGAACATCAAACACTGAATGCCTTTTGAAGTTTCAAAGACTCATTTCTCATGTAATAGGACTGGGCAGCCTATTCACTAGGGCTGTTATATATAATTTTAGAAAATGGTTTCTGGAGCTTTGAGTTTAGGAAAAGCAATAACATGCCCATTCAGGTCTTATTTCAAAATTACTTTCCATCATTACGGAAAGAAACGAACATTTAGATTCTTAAAAGAGTGATCTCTATCTCCTATATCTCACCGATGGTGTATCACTCTTTGTTGTGGCATAATGAAAGAATGTAAGTAGATCTGATCTGGCTCGTTTTAAATCAAATGAAATGCAAAAAAGTGCGTAATAACTCAGTATGGTTTTTATCACTATTGCTGCCCAAACACATATATATTGCTGGCATTTTTGATGGAGAAACTATTGAATCTTCTAAAATACATATTCACCTAAATGATACTGTGAACATAATCGTGTATCATCATAAAACTTCTGACAATCCGTCTTCCCTGAAGGGCTGGCTGAAGGACTAATGTCATGAACAAGTAGTGGAGATTTGTGCTTTAAAAATAAAGATAGTAGTGTAAAGCTGATTAGAACTGGAGCTAGGGAATTCACCGAGTACATACATACTGTGTGCCTTGGTGCTTTTACATGTATTGTCTCTCAGAAAACAGTTTGACCTCATAAAACACAGGCAGTTATGTAGGTTTTCATGATCTGAAACGGATTTCGTCATTATTTTGTTAGCACTCATCCTACATATAGGGTGTGAAAGAGGAGCTTGGCCTGGTCTGTGTGTGAAGAGGCCCGGATCTAATTTCCATTTTCCCCAATTTCAGGGAAATTGCACTGTGTAAATCATTGTACAGAGCAGTTCTGGCATGTTTTTGTCTTTCTGACCCGTGCAATGCAGATATCTATTGGGAACATAAAATTTCAAACGGTACATCTGCAGCCAAAGAAAACCGAATCACTTTGCACTGAAGGCTTGAAAAATAGAAAGCTCTAATTAGAAGCAAGCAATACCACCACTAGACAGACAGGTCACAACACTGCGTTCACAGGATGCATCCCCCACTCACTGTAGCAGGCCCTAAGTCCTACCCCTAAATCTTAATACTTTCGGTTCCATATACGTTGTAACCTTCTCTATAGGTTGCTAAATTCTGGGTATTCTGCGAGGAAGTTGGGTTAAAAGTCTGTGCACTCTTGGCCACCTTCATTCTCTTCGCTTCTGCCCTGGACTTGTAACAGAACTCTATCAAAGCCACCAGCATTGCCAAGCCCAAGCCGCCAACTAGAATGTAGAAGACGCCAGCTACGTTGCTCAGGCTCAAGGCACTCGTCTTGTCCTAGGAGGGATAAAGACACTTCAGTTAACTGTGGAAATGTCACGTCCAAAATGTAAAAGAACACATGAACTTCAAGTAGCCAATTAAAGTCAATGCTTAATTTAACGGGAAATTATTTACAAGTATAAGTCACTGATACAGGTTTATGGGTTTAAGAGTAAAGCTTATAGCTCTCAGGAGAAATGAAATTATGATTACCGATAAATTGCGTACAATTACATTCAATAAAATCTGTAACATCTTATCATTAAATATGTAATGAAAACCACTATGCTAGTCATAGACAAGGATTTGTATATTTATATGGGATACCAGAAGTGGGTTATTATAGGGCTTGAAAATGACTTGTTTAAAATCCAAGCAAGGGGACCTGTTTTGGCTTTGCTTCCTTTGAAACATAATATTAATGTGTAAAGTGTCTCTTGAATAAACTTAGGTCCACATTTACTACTTAAGGAACTAGGGGTTTTTCACCTAGTAGTTTCACATTTTGTTCACCATTGTTTTATCATATATGTACAGAGGATGTACTCTGCTCTGTGTCCTTAGGTTTTTTCAGTTATATCTATATGGGAAATCTCATGAAAAATGTCACTTTTGCATATTATTTTTATAACTATTTAGAGATAGTTATATAGGCATAACACCTGGGTAACTTTTTAAAAGTAACTTTTAAAAACATGCAAATTACCATGGTCAATTGAGAAATAAATTATTTATCTATGGACAAATTTATAACTTATTTATCAGTGTAAAAATATAACTCCATTCACACTTAAAAATGCTTCACCAATTAATATTTTAGACATAGTCTTTGAATTTACTACACATGCAATAAATCTAGAGATGGTCAAGCATATGCTAGGAAGATATTAAAATTATAACAATAATTTGGAATTTTTTCACAAATTATAAATATATTAATTACATAATATTATTCCAACAAGTATTTTGGTGGATGATGCTTTATGGCTAACATTTTCTCATCAATACAATTTTGTGCAAAATGTGATTCAGGAACTTGAGTAGTTTAATTAAGAGAGTGTCTAAATTCAAAAGATGACTTATTCACTGTCTACTTAGTCATGATATCAATTGAGCGGGCCAAAATTTTTACAGTAACTTACGTCTTACAATAATGACTCATTAAATACTTGTGCTTTTCTTTCTATCAGGTTTTAAAGATAATTATTTTATCATCTGGCCAAGATCATCTCATTCCACTCTGGTTCAAAGGCAGTCAGAAGTAATTAAAATATAAGAATAAGGCTTGAGACTTTGTCTCCTTCTCCAAGTTATCGAGGCTATTTTATTTAAGCCACTTATTTAATGTCTTAGAATAACTAATAAGTTGCTTCTTTCTAGAAGAAAATACAAAAAATAAGTGGTTTCCAAGAATCAACCGTGGCTTTCAGACACTTAATGATATTAATATGTGCAGATATTTTCACTCAATGACAAACTTGTATTTTTTCTTTAGAATAAAATATAAATGTATTCAGCAGAATTGGGCCTACAGGTTTCTGCATTGTTCTAAAATGAATTCCTTAATAAAATATCTTGGAACTTGAAGATGTTATTGTAAACATCGACTTACTGAAATAATGTTGATGAGGAGAATTCAATCAGAAAGTTCATTCTGCTCATCTCTCAGCACAGAAATATAACAGAGCCTCTTCAAACTAAAGTGGAATGCTTGATGATATGGTGACAAAAGACTGAACTTCTGAACAAACACTTATTTAATATTTAGCATCTTTTACTTTATGGATGACTCCTAATCAATTTCCCATTTCCTGCTTTGAGGATCTATTAGTTCTTGAAATCATAAATTTCATGGTCTTTATCTCCAAAACACAAAAAAATTTTATTAGTGGTACGTAATTTTGAGAACAATACACAGAATTTTGTTAGTTTATATATTTTTGCTGTTTAAGTTTATTTAAAAGGCTTCATATCAGGGAGCAGGTAGCACAGTAATTTCCTGAAAATATGGTCCCTGTGGTTGAAATTTACGGCATTAGCTTCTACTTGAGACAGTGGCTGTGTGTACAAAAAAAATGTTCGGTCTCTAAGGTTTCCATATTTGACAATTGCTCCCATTTACTATTTTGTGAACACAAGAGGAGGCCCCGAACTGCAGCGACTGACCTTGCTTCCCGAGTCCTTGGGTCCACATTCACCTTTATCGTACCACCATTTGTTTTTCAGCTTGTCTAAGACGCCTGCCTCACTGAGTTTCAAAACGGCAAGGTTTACAGGAGTTCTTCACGTGGAAAATAACATAAATAACATTATATATGTTATTTTATGTTATTCAAGTAAAACTACATTAGAATCGCATGGCAAAGTGACAGAGCAGAGGCCACAGTAGGTACTATGTCTTGTACTGTAGGCCCAGGTTTAGAATCAGACATAAAACTGGGACCTGCTCCATCGCTTTAGGTAACAGGCACATACTGCTAGGGAGGATTATTAAAGAAAATGTATGCAATTACTGTGAATCCAAAACTATTGGCCTGGGTTGGGTTGCTTGAACATTTATAATATTCCCCGTGCAAATGTGGTCATTCCAGAATCTCCTTTCTTTTCTCTCTCAAAATAAACACAAGTAGCTGCAGGTTGATAGAGACTTAATATGAAAGCTAAACAGGACTGATCTCACTTCTTGTATGCAGTGTAACTCAGCTGGTGGGGTTTGACTTTATGCTCTGATATTGTGGGCAAAGTATCCATCAATAGATTCACTCTGTAACTGCTTTGATTCAGGACCTAATTGCAAGAGGAGAGTGATTACAGTGACACAGACCAAGGATCACGTCATGCAGAGAAATGTCCTCATGAGACCAATATGTGAATTATTGGGTTGAAGGGCTAATGTGCAGTATAAGCCCATGCTGATATTTTCTTTCTGAATTGCAGTATTTAACCTAAATAATATCACTGGAAGTGCTGTTCATCAAAAGCCTCCTACTAATATACTCCAAGTATAGGAGGGAGGGATTACAATTACTCTATACATTATTACCAACAGACAAATCACAGGTTAGGGATAACTAAGACTCCTCTGAAAAGTCTTCTTTTCTTTTCTCGTCTTTGATTCCTTCAATACTCAATATTGTGTAAGGAGTCTCAAAAATTTTCAGCTATTAACTCACATGAATATTTTCAGTAACAAAAATGCTTCCAGCTTTCATTCCCAGATAATAATATGAAAGCTAAGATGGATGGGGAGCAGTAACTTCTAGGGTGTTTTATTGTTGCAGTTATCTTGGTTGGTTGACTTTTGTTTCATTTTACTGGAGATAGGACGCATTCCTCTAGATGTTTTTAAGGCTGCCGGTCGTTTTGTCTGGCTTTATCTTCCAGTGCCTCATTCTTAGGAAATGTGGAATGTGTTTGGTGAACCAAAGCATACATGTATTTGGTTACCAGGAGATTAATTCCATTAATGCTACACAACTAATGATAACGAATGTTGACTGGACATTCACTATGTACAAGGCACTGTTGAAAGATTTTACATCTTTATAACTGTCACTCAGATTTTATAAATGAAACCAAGACACACAACCCTTAGTCACACAGCTAGTTAGGCATTAGCTGAACCAGGATTTGTGAGATTTCATAACCTGCGCAACTAAAAATACAACATAAGACTTAGGGAATGTAGTTTCTGATTAATTGAGTTGTCTGATTAAAAGTGGAACTAAAAACCATTTTTTTGTGTTGATTTTGAATACAAATATTTTTAAGATGTGAGTTTTCCATGTTGTTTCTGCAGTTTCTGAATAAGATTTGAATTTTGTGTTGGTCTTCTGAGACCTTACTAAGACTCAGGCTTATTATTCCATTTAAACAGTAGCAGGCATGCGCCACGTTCCTAGAATACTAAATTGGTTTTTGTTTTAAAATCGGCATAAGCATGATGTAACACTATAGTAAAAGCTCTTTTTGAATATTAGTGGTTAACTGGGATGTTAAGATGAACCAAGTTGAACCAGGTTTTCCTGTCTAATCAGGCCCATTCGAACAGTGTGGCCTCTCTCCCTTTGTGAAAGGATTGTTACAAAATCACAGCTGTGGGTTGTTTGGTTCACTGTGAACATCTTAAGAGGAAAAGCTATATCTATCTGTGTAAAAACAGTATTTACCAGAATCTGACCTGGATTAGTGATCTGTAAAGTTGTCAAGCTTAAATTACTGTACTTCGTTTAGAATAAACTTGTTCTTTTAATTGATGCTATAAAGGTTCTTGGTTTTGAGACCAGTCTGTCTACGTGGCCCAGGCTAGTCTGTGACAGCCGGGCACAGGCAATCCGCCTACCTCAGTCTCCTGAGTAACTGGGACGACAAGAGTTTGAGGTCCCCAGGCTGGCGTCCGAAGCCTTTTAAACACAAACATAGGTTCATTTTATTAGCCCATGTTGCATTTCTTGAATGAGGTGGGTGGAAAGGAGGACCCAGTGCTGCAAAAAGGAGGAAAAGGAAGTAGAGAAACCCTTTCATATTTCCTCTAAAGGGGACAGATGAAGGCAAAATTAGTTTAAAGACTGCCTTTGGCTTGTCTCTCCTATGGAAGGCATTCATCCCCCTATTCCTTGTCCTTCTCCTTGGCCTCTTTGTCCCTTGAGCTCTTTGCTCCAGCAGTCTTGTGTTATAGAGTGAGATTAAATTGGCATTTTGAGACAAAATCTTCACCGCCAGTCAGTTGGTGGCATAACTTGATGAGCAAAGACTTTACTATTGGGCAAGCCCTCTCCGAGGGTTAGTTTTCCTTAGGGGCTTTTGTTATAACGCTTTTTTCTTGCTTAGAATGTATGTTTTCTGTACTGATCCTTTAAGCTAATTTCTATGTGAGTCTGTCCTTGTGAGTTCTTGGCTGTACTTGGGAATCTTGTCAAGTGTCTGCAACCATCAAATCATCATGGTACTAATAACAGGTGCAAAATAATTCATGTTTCTATATGTTTCATACTTCGTCCTCTCACTACATCTATGAATATATGCATACTTACGGATGTGGCCATACCCAAAAATAATTTTGTAGTATAATTAGCAAAGAAAGTGTTCCCTAGGAATCATTTTTGATTACACAATCCTCTGAAGAATTCAGTCCATTCATTGAAAACTTACAAATTGGCATAAAATACTTTCTACTGTTTATATGTAGACTAAGCCATTTTAGATTAAGCAAAGCAGAAACTATGGTTTAGACATGCAATGCATATTTTTAAGTTGACTCTGTTAATTCATAAATTTCTGTTATTTTACTCACAAGAGTATGAATTTCTTATGATCAGTTTTTTAAAAACTACACAGCAATACTATTAACACCAAGAGTGAGTTTTCAAATAAATAAATTTGAAACCTCCAAAGTATGCCTTTCCACTTTTTTTTTTTTTTCCTTTTAGGATGGAAGCCTGTTTTCATCACATCTCTTACGGAACTTTCCCGACTGAAGATTGCTATGGTGAGAACTTCCTCGTGCTGGGAAGCCTGCAGGCTGAGTGGGACGCTAATTATTGCACAGCCGTGGAGTGTGGGATGTGACAGGGAAGCTGTCACAGCCACTGTGACTAGTTCAGTTGTTGCTTATATTAAATCATAAGTTCCTTGAGGGAAAAGGCAGTGAGTAATGCTCTCTTTCTCTCCAGGTAGTGGCACATGGCCCTGTGAAGGCACAAGATTGATAATTTTCCGCTGAACGGAAGGCTGGAGATGTGTGTCATCCCTCCAGCCATCTTGCTACAATCCTGTGCAGGACAGGTGAGCCAGCTGTCTTCTCTTAGGAACCTTTCTGGGTGTGATACAGGGTTCTATTTTTTCCCCTTCATTAGATGAAACACTACTGGAAAAGTTAGTGTTCTACATCCAAGGTTCTATACCTTACAGTCAAGTAAGCCAGGATACTGGCTGGCTTGTGTTGAGATCTCTATGTATTTCCTTCCTATACTGAGTCTGTAGCATTTGTTCCTTCTGCTTTGGTTTTATGCCCACAAAGGCCCTAACTAGCTGCAGTTCTCAACTATTTTTTCCCCTGCTTATTTTACTTATTTTGAGGAAGATCAGGCCAAATGGGAGGGGAAGGTAACTTTAAAAAGAAAATCAGACATCCCAAGAAGGTACAAAAAAAAAAACAAATGAAAAAGCAACAATTGCCTCCTGGTAATAGCTTTCATCTAAATTGGCTCAGGGCATTTACAATATCACCTTTTCTTACAAACTCAGGGTACAGAATTATTACATTTAGATTTCAACAACCTGTTCTTTTGGTAATAAGCCTGATACTCATATACAAACCACTAGAATTTTGTTTTGTAGTAAGAAAACAAAATTCCTGAGCAAAAATAGAATATACTGCAATTTAATTTTAGGTGAATATTTTATGCTAATTTTGTAACATCTTGGAAAGCTATCTCTTAAGATTTGAAATAAGTTTTAGAATACAATTTTCTAGTTCATGTTGATGAAAGTGATGTACTACATGCCTGAAAGAGTAAGCAGTTTAATTTTAGAAAGATAAGGTCAGATTCACAATTTTTCTTTTGGACAACAAATATTTACTAAGTAGACATATACCAAACAATGTGTTGAATAATAACCTGGTCAAATTTGGCTGATGTGCCTCATCCTTCATTTAAATAAATTACAACTATTTTGGTTGCATAGATTGTTCTAATATATGTACATATCTGTCATGCTTATTTTTCTCTAGAAAGTCTTTAAGTACACTAAAATCACTTCATTACTTGTTGAAAATTTTATCTATAAAGTATTGTTATTTTCATATCTGTAGTAAAAATAAAAATTTGCAAAGAAAAATTTTCTAATGGTCTAGTATATATGGTTTTATTTTTCTGGTGCTACTATAGAGCACTTTATGATACTTCTGATTTTCATGGAAGCACACTGGATTATTAGTGTAAATTTGAATAATTATATCTGTATGTCTATATATATTGATTTATATGTTTACAGAACCTATCAGAAAATTCTAAGCAAGTTGAGGTCCCAAAATGGAAAATGAATACTCCTTGAGATGGTTTAAGTGTGATTCGTTCCTACCAAAATCCAGAGTTGAGGCTTAACGTCCCCATGTAACAGTATTGGGGTAATGGAACCTTTAATAGACCATCAGGGACATGCAGGATCTGCCTTCATGAGTGGCTTTAATTTTACTTATTTATTTTTTTTGGCACAGGCATTCAAACCCAGGACCCCAAGCATGTGAGGCGAGTGCTCTGCCACTGGGTTTAATCCCCAGCCTGGGGTAATGTTTCCCTTGAGAGACTATGTTAATTTTTTCAAAACTAGATTAGATTTTAAGGGACTGTGTTAACGATCACAAGAGCAGATTGTCATGAAAGAGCAAACCTGACCTCTCACCACTCTTTCTTTTTCTCTTACGTGTGATCCACCCCTCCCCCTCTTGCACCCGTGTGGTGCCATCTGTCACAGTGAAGCATCCAGTGAGCCCTCACCCATGTTGTTTGGACTTTCAAGCTACCAAGATTAAAAAGCCAAAGAAATGTCTTTCTTTATACACTTCCTAGCATCAAGGACTTTGTCATAGCAACACCAAATGGATTAAGGCAGATGTTGCCTAGAATAAAGGCAAAGTTTCAACTTTTTCTGCCCACAATAGGCCTGATTATAGGCCTATTATATGTTGCCTAGAATAAAGGCAAAGTTTCAACTTTTTCTGTTCACAATAGGCCTGATTATTAGATGAGACTACATAAGTAGGCTCAGTTTTAAAGGCTTTTTAGAATGGGGCTGAGCAGAGTTAACAGCAACCATTCCAACAGCTACTCCCTGAAAACAGAACATAACAGAATTTATCGGTTAAGTGGCCACATAACAGAATTTATAGTCCAATAAAAACGGACAATTTTCTAAATTAAAAATTCTGTACTTTTAAATATGTACTTAACATTTTTCATTATCCTTCCTTAGCAATTAAAGGTAGTTACTCAGAATTTCTCCCTCTGTGGACAGTTTTCTGTAAGTCTGTCAAAACAGATATATATGAGGTGTTCTGCTATGTTAGTTAATGTGCTTTGTTAGCTGTATGCCTGTTTTCCCTGTATACCTCTTTCATTTCTAAAAGAAAGCTGGGAATATGACATGGATGGAGTGAAGATAAGGATGACTTGCTCTTGTTTTCGTTGCCTGATCATTTTATAATAGATCCAGTAATGGAAGGCAAAAAATGCGTAGTTCCTATAACTATCTTTGAGGTTTTGTTTAGCTTTCATGCGAGCCCATTGAGTTTTAAATGAAGAAAACTCGACAGTGAGATCTGCAGGCATGTCTAGGTGGAATCAGGTTATGGGCATTGCTTAGAAATGTTGGTAGACGTTTGGGCCAAATAATAATGAAGAAAATAACCCTCTCTGTTCTCTCTCTTCTTTACTAGATTTCACTTTCACAAATTTGCATCCCTTCTGCTTTCCAAAACCGAGGTTCACAGGACTGTGTCTGACCCACAGCCTTTTCCACCCAGCGCTTTTCAGTGACTATTTCCATCATATGTTTCAGTGTGCTAGCAAATTGATCATAGTTGCAAATATTTTTGCTTTGACAGTAATTGCATACTTCAGTTTGTGAAGGGACTTGACTAGCAATTCAACTGTTGGTAGGTCCAGATCGTAAGTCTCCCAGCAGATGCACCTATTACTTTACATACTGTTTACCCGCTTTTGGTGACATTGAGGCTAACCTTGGAGTCACCTCCCCCGCTGCCACATTCTCCTTTGTCGTACCACCATTTGTTTTTCAATTTGTCCAAGAGGCCTTGTTCATTCAGTTTTAAAACTGCGAGGTTAACAGCATTTCTTGAAACGATAAAACATATTTTGTAAGAAACTGTACAGCTGTTAAGATGTTAGAAGGAATGAGGACTTAAGCTCTTTCATAAGCTTCTCCCAGACGCTAAATAAACCTCTCATTTTTCCATCCTGTAGCCCCTTCTACCAAAGACCAAACCAAAGACAATCGTAACTGATTTCATTAAGCATGCAGTATTTGGTGCTGTTCATTTTCACAGTTTGTTTATTGTCAAACAACTAATCTTATCAATGAATTACATGGATTTCTTTTTGCAAAACAACAATAAACTTAAATTTACTGGTTACTGAGAAAGAGTTATGTCTTGAATTTCTTTGCCTCTAAGCATGGCAGTGACCCAAAACAGACTGAAATGAAAATTCATTCCCAAAAGGAAAAATAAAATGGCATTATTAGGCCAACAAACCAGCCATTAATTTTGTGCTCTATATTCTTGACAATGGAAGTAGAGTTTATTTAACCATTCCCTTTATTATCTGTGTTGGGTTAGTGAGTTTGTTTGATTTAGTTGGTCTCAGAATCTAGGGTTTCCAGGCTGGTTCAGACTCCTGGGCTGGAAGTGACAGGTTAGGCAAGAAGTTGCCACTATGGGGGATAAGTTCTTATACCCAAACTTTGCCATGACTGGCTGCTTTTTGGAAATTAGGCTCACGTATCCACCTTTACTGTTTAAATTAAGCAATTAAATCCCAGGAAGTCATGCTGCATGTGATATGAACCCTGCAAGCAAACACTCTGGATTAGATTTTCCCCATGTTTACTTCTATAGGAAAAGGGGAGCAGCATATGCTAGTCACTTGGTAAGAGGATTAAAAACATGTCTCGGGCTTCCACTTTCTATGCATTTCGTTTCTTTCTTGTTTTCAAATTACAGCTTTCAAGTGACCCATGAACTCTTTGAGGAGGTTTCCTAGTATTTAATCTAATTTGTATTAAAGCTAAGAAGTGGCTCCTACACTGTGGAAATTTTCAGTTCAGTCCATGTGGTGCTGTTTGAGAAACATTGAATCTGGTGATTACTGAATGCCGAACCAGTTACAGATAAAATAAAATGAAATAACCAGATTAATGACTAGTATGATTTGCGGGTAAAATGCTATTTAGCTAACTAGTAAGAGGTGCTGCATATTTCCCCACTAAGTAGCCTGGTAAACTGTTTGTTCTCTTAAGATACGTTCAGTGTATTTCAGGTAGGTGATGGGCTTTTCTGCTGTTGTGATTGACTGATCCACTAGAAGAGGAAACATTTCTCATGAATAAATCACACAGTTTGGGAATACTAACTCTTACAAGTTAGAGTCTCACTTACTAAATGCTAGTTAGTTTTCCCCACATCCCTACTACACATTAGTAGTATAAGAGAACTAATGTACATTTCCTAAACCGAACAATATCAGGCTTTTGGTTTAATCACCAAAAGGAATCAGTGAAAATCCAGAAATGAAAATGTATTCAGTGAAGCTAGAGATATCTATTTGAAAAATTCTTTTGGGAGAAAAGAATTGTTTTATTCTGTGTTTCAAGAAACTAAAAGGATTTGTCTTTCAATGAATTAAAACAACTAATATTTTCTATTTAGAAAATTAATATAATTCACTTTTTTCTAGTTTAAACATTCATATTAGATTTTTTAATGAAGTGGTAGCCCAATGACTTATATGTTGGTTTCGACCTCTCCTTTGATAAAACTAAAACCATTTCATGAGAGGGTTATTTAACAGGGTTGTTAGCCATATCCAAAGACAGGTTCACAGCACAACAGAAAACAAAAAAAAGCAAAATAAAGGAATGGATAAGAAAAAAACTTTATGCTGAGAAAATTGGAGTCAAGCTTTCTAAAAATTTGTTCTAAGACATTGTCTTTCTCATACCTTTTAATAGGCCATGTAAAAACAGTTTAGTTTCACACTGCTATCCATACATGTATGTGTGTAAGTTTCTATGCTTGATTAATACTATACATTTGACCAGTAGACAAATTACTGTCCGCCTCATGACTAATCTACCTGATTTCCTTTCAAAAACCTGTGGTCCCTTAAGAAAGTTGACTTAATACCATCATATATAAAGTTTATTTTAATGATACAAAGCAAAAGCACTTATAGTTAACATATAGAAATAATTTGTATATTTTAAGATTTTTTGGCATGTTAAAAGTACCAGTTATTTTCAACAACTGTTCACTTGAAGATGTAATTTCCTTATGCAATAGGGTTAGGTCTAACGGTCTCCTTGGATTGTTGCTTAGACTGCACCATAAGCCACACGTAGATAGATCTTTCAGATACCTATTCTACTTTATGGAATGCATTACTCTTGCATGTTATTAATAATAATCATCAAGTGACTTTAAAATGTATAAAATTATTACACTCACTTTACTAGACTAGGTTAAAAAGTATTTTCTTTTTTTTTTTGGGCCGGGGATTTAGCTCAGCAGCATAGCACCTGCCTGGCAAGTGTGAGGTTTTGAGTTCAATTCCCGGTACAAAAAAAAAAAAAAAGAAAAAGAAAAGACCAATGCCTGATGCCTAAACAAAAAGTACTTTTTATTCAGGAATCCCAAAGGAATTCAACAAGGCTAAGGAATTCACAAGACCTCACGTGTACAGAAGCAGAGAAAGGAGATCCTCGCTGCCGCACATTATGTTGCAGTTTTGGAATCTCCTTTATATATTTCAGATACTGACATCAAAGTCAATACCAGAAACTCATACTGATTATAAAGAATGTTCTTACACTAATTAAGTCAGCATCAAGGAAGCTGTAATAGTGATCTAGCAAACAGGGAAAGGAGAAAAGAAAAATATTGTGGGCAATTTCATACATCAGTCACTTTTATTGTATCAAGTGCAGCTTCTATACAATAAAGCCAAATGAAATGGATTGTTTTCCACATAAAAATGGGAGGGAAGAAACAATGATAAGTGATCATATTCTGTGAGATGTATAAATCACACTGGAGAACTCAGGTTGGCCTTTTATGGTTTGAAAGAGGACAAAGGTAATTTACTTATTTCCCTTTGTCTTCTTCGCCTCTGGAAAGTTTAGGTAAGAAAAATCTCTCTCCAAATAGCTTTTTAAATTAATTTATTAATTAATTTTACTAACGGTAAGATACTAGCAAACTTTAGTCTGGACTGTAATGAAAATATTCACCTGGTTGAATTTCAGGACCTCCAGAAAATTTCCAACAGTTTTTAAATTTTGGAATTTTCTTCTCAGGAATTTGGTATTATAAAAACTTACCCCATTGCCTTAGGACCTGGGACCCATTTTTGTTAAAAATGTTGTAGAAATATCACGTAAAACAAAAATTTTAAAACAGCATCTAACAGGTAGCAATTTTTTCCATTTATCAATTTTGGATAAATTAAGAGTATAATGTAAGTTTTTTTGTTTTTTGTTTTTTTTTGTAAAAACATGCTTAAAAACCAGGCTAAGACCTTTGCCTCTCTGTCTACCTTACCATAAATGATTTACCATGAAATTCTATAGATTTGAATATGTCCTTCTGATAACTTTATGCCTGGTGCACTATGTTTACTTCAGTCTTCTCTGTTATTGAGCTACTGATGTACATATGTGACAAATTTATAAGGCACAAGTTTGGTGACTTTTTTATTTCTTGGGTTTGTGAATATTATTATAAAGAACTGATGATACAAACCCTTATATTTAGTAAATATCTGCATGTAGGTTATTCAGGACACATACAGTTTATAGAAGAAATAATGTCTAAAATATGAATAAATTACAGAGCAAAAGCAAAGACACTAGGAAACAGGGAGGTAGATCTTTTGCCAAAGGGAAGGGGATCAAGAGTTGGAGGGAGTGGGGTGGTAGGAGAGGGCAAGGAGGAAAAAAATGAAGATGTGTTATGTACATGCCCTAGCTCTCCAACATGAATGCAATCATTATGTAGTGCTACAAGTGTGTAGTAATAAAGGAAAAAATAAAATAAAAAAGAAAGCATATGCAAAAGTAACAAAAAATCTTTTCTTTAACTAAAACAAATTAAGTTCTATTTCACTTCATGGAATAAGCATGCCATTGCTGGGTATGGCACCAATAGTGTATGGTCCCAGTGTCTTAACTATTGTGGAATGGCTCCGTGGCTTTATTATCCTGATAAAAAGGGACCCCTCAGTCTTAACCTGTACTCTCTTCTTATAGGCTTTTCTTTATACTTTATTCTCTACAAAAGTGAAGCACCTGGTATTACAGTGTCTAGAATATTTACCTGAAAGAGGCTGGAAATTTCTTTCATAGTCTCCATCACACACTAATATATATTTTGAAAATTAAAAATTATGGGAACTTATAAGAAACTGTGTAAAGAGTTAAGAATATTGCTTAAAAAATCAACAGAGGACATTAATAGATAATTTAGGCAGAAAGAAATACAAATTATATGATAATAATTCAACCTTACTTGGAACTAAACTAGTGAGTTAAAGCAGGGCAAATTAGTATTTTCTTTACTCCTATTAGGATAAAAATAAAGATGATGCTTGATATATTCAAGAATTTAATACATTGGGCATTCTCATACAAACTAAAAATTACAAAATAATTGGGCCATATACAGCTCAAGTTTTAAAATGCTTATTTTTGATACAGTAAGTCTGTCCCATTGGACAGAAGCTTGAGTTGGGTATCAGAATCACTTATTATAAACACAGATGCTTAGACCTAACTCTGCCCATCACATTATTCTAGATTAGGTGTAACGTATCTACATTTCTACAAAGCTCCTGAGATATTAATATTGTTAAGCACCAGTAATCCATATGATAATATTCTACAACCACTAGAAAATGTTAATGACTATAACTTATGAGTTAAAATGAAATAGATTTATATGTTCTTTGTGCTCTTCATCTGACAATAATCCATACCTATATTTCATGTTAACAAAAATATACTGGATGGAAATACAATAAATCATTATATCTGGGTGGAGGGAGTATGATTGATTTTTATT